GAATGCCAGAAGCTCTTACATTGTAACCTGTAGGTGGTGGAGGGGAGCGGCGATTGGGTTGTTGGGCCCACCCTGCCCTTCCCTCCAGCCCGTGCCACTGACCCAAAGACAGCTGGTGGCTTTCCTTCCCGGGACAGCCCTGTTTGCCTGTTGCTCAAGGCAGCTCCTGCTCTGCCATCTGCTGAGCCCCCCGGGCTGCCTCCTGCCTGGACCTTGAATCTTACTGGGTCTTGGGGCACTGATGACCTAGACGGTGTCGCCTGCTCAGGGTCATGCTCACTAGCACCTCCTTTTGGTGGGGTGCGGGGTGTTCCTCTGAGCCAGGCTGGGAGGGGAACCCCTCCTCCCACCACAGCTCACCACATCACCCCAGCGTGGCTGCTGCAGGGGCAGAACAGGGAATGGCCTGAGCCCCAGGTTTGGGAGGCCCGGTTGGGATAGGGGGAGGCAGGTGCAGGCCCCGCGGAGCAGGAAGCCTGGAAGAACCACTGCCTGGGGCGGGGGCGGGGCCAGAAGGCAGCGTGGGCCCTGAACCAGCCTGGCTGAGCTGGGCCTGGAGCCATCAGTTTAGGGTGCACTCACAGGCAGAGATGTGTCCTCTGGCCGGGACAGACACCCAGCTGGCTGGGTCCTTCCTCAGCCTTGCCTCCCTCTTGTCCCCAACCCTTCTCCTGTCCTGCTCCCAGACTGCTGGCCCTTCACTCCCCTCTCCCAGCTGTTTCTAGTTACCACTGGCCCATGGCCACGGACTGACCAGACCAGCACACAACATGAGAGCTTGTCCACGTTGACAGGTGGAGGAGCTGCCACTGAGAACACTGGTGCCCTGCCTGCCCCAGCCCCAGTCTTAGAGAGCAGGGCAGGGCGGGGGAGCCCAGATTCTGGAGGCAGGCGTGGCCTCACCACCCATGCTCTCCCACCAGCTCTGACACGGGACAAGTTCCCAGCCTTCTCTGGATTTGAGTTGCCTCCACAGCAAGAGGTGAATGCCTCCAGGGGGTCAGAATTTATTGAGGATGTATGTGAGGCCCCCTGTGCCCAGCACGCTGCATATACCCACGCTGGTCCCTAAGTCCATAGCAGAGGCCTGAGCTGGGGGACAGGCTTGAGAGAGGTGGCATGGACATGTCTGTGGTGTGGCTGGGGCTGTGCCAGGTGTCTCCCTCACTTCGTCGTCTGAGGGTTGGTGCCATTGTTCTAGGTGGGGACACAAGCTCAGAGGAGCAGTGCCACCAGCAGGCGGGGTCTTCCCACCCTGGCCCTTGGCCCAGCCGTTCCCGCTCAGCTGTTCCTTTGTCTCCTGGCTGTTTCCCTCTTGCTTTTTGGCTCATTCTGCTTGCAGGGCTGCTGCCCACGGAATCCTTGGCAATCAGAGGGCTCCAGTGTTGAGCGCCCTGCTCTGTCCCCTTGTGGGTGCTGTGGGACTGGTATTTCCCTGGGCGTGGCCATGGTAGACCTTCGAGCAGGCGGTGCCTGGTTTTGTTGGAACTCTTCGGCCCCTGTGAGCATAACCACTGGATGTTAGGAAGCCGTGGCCGCCACCTGGCCTCTGTCCTCAGGTGCTCGGGAGGCTGGTTTGGATCTGTGTGGCCACCGGGCCACACCTGCTAGCAGGGCAGGTCGAGTGCAGCGTTTCACTGTCCTCCACGGGGACGACCCGAGTTCCCTGTGTGTCTCAGCCTACCAACTCTCCATTTGGAACAGAACACCAGCCCTTTTGTAGTTGATGAAGAATAAAGTTGTTAATCGGATCATCTCAGTGGCAAACCCTGACCCTTCTCTGTGTGTGGTAGGGGTGGTGGCACCTTAACTCCGTCACACCGCTGTTCTGCGGACTGGCCCGGCACAGCACAGGGCAGCAGGACTGTGACATGGGCGGGGAGTGCATGGTGGATGGGGGCCGAGGGATGTACCACAGGGAAGATGGTGTGAGTTGTGCCGTGAGGGGCCAGTAGGATTTGAACGTGTGCAGACAGGAAGAGGGTATGTGCCTGGTCCGAGGGCGAGAGCAGAGGCCCCAAGCCCCGTGACTGTGGTAAGTTCCAAGGACTCGTTGGTACTGCTCAGGGCTGTCTCCTTTGTTGAAAATGGTGCTAGTTGCAGAGCAGGTGTTGAGTGGAACCGGGAGAGAAGCGAGCATCTGTGGGGGACGGGCCTTGTGTAGGACTAGCTCTTTCCTGGGACCCTAAACCGAGGGGATCTGAACTGGCCCAGAACCTCTGGGCTGGATTTGCCCTCCACCGGGCACCCTCTGTGGCACTTGACCCCCAGTTCCTCCTACTGACCTGTTCCTGCCTTTATTTTCTCAGCTGTGATGGGGACTGGCCCTGGGCCAGGTGTCATGGTCAGACGAGGCAGCTCGTTAGAGACACTGACTGGGGAGTGTTTAGGGGAAGGGCCAGGACCTGGGCCGGCAGCTTCTGGCTCTCAGGGCACCCACTTCCGTGTCCCAGCCCAGCCCAGACTCGGGGGCAGATGTCTAACTCCCATGGAGAAGGACGCAGCCCTGAAGGCAGATGTGGTCACTAGTTAAGCAGGTAACTTGCTACCTTCTACTCATGTGGCTCTAGAAGATGCTTCACATGATGTCGGGGTCAGCTAATAAAGCCACCCCACTTTCTCCTGCCTTCCTTGGGCCCAGAATCACTGGGCAGGGCCTGCTCAGGCCGCACCTCCCACCACAGCTGGGTTTTAGCTGAGAGGCTGGGTTTCTAACGCAGGAGTAAGTCTTTGAAGCATTGTTTTGGCCAAGAATTCATTCTCGTTTTCCCAAAAGATTCCCTGTGCAATGGCCAGATAAAACCCATATATTCTCCCCCCCAAAAAAACGAACAAAAAACACGTATTCCATGAGTCCCGGGCATAATTTACTCTTTGCATAGGTATAAATTAGAATCTGGAGATAAGAACAGTAAGAGCCCAATGGTGCAGCATTTGTGACAGAAGAGCTGGGCAGAGGTGTGCGGTCCCGCCCTCGGGAGGGCGCCTGCCTGCATGGCAGCCCCTCTTGGCATCCGGGTTACACGGAACTGAAATCACCCAGCACCCCACAGAACGGGGCTAGGAATCAAGCTCTTAGCTTTTCAGTTAAAAAAATGACCTTGAAAAGTGTTTACATAATAACAGCAGGGCCAGCTGAGGCAAAAAACCCTGCCCCCGCCCCTGCCCTCCCCTCACCCCCACCCCCCATAGAAAAAAGCCAGAAAGGAAGCGACTGAGCAAGAGCTGGAAGAGCCCTGAGCGGGTGCCGAGGGTGAGGGCCCCTGACCCAGGGGCCGGATTGAGATGGGGCACAAGTCAGTCCTCCCATCATGACACCCTGAATATCACCCTGACATCACTGGGCCACCAGGGGAGCCAGGGAGTCCTCTGCCTGCACCCTTTCAGCTGGGCTCCCTGCACCCTGGGGGATGTGGCAAACGTGCCAGGGACAGGCAGGCCCCATCCCCGCATCAGAGGAGCAGAAACAACTAGCGTTCCCAGCAGAGGGGTCCCTCTGAGGATCCCAGGAGCAGACCTAGGGTACAAAAAGCCCCACGGCCCACCTCACGCCAGACAAGCACAGTGTATAGAAGCCCTTGGAGGACCCTGTGGGCCAAGCTCCCCGGGTCAATGGAACTGGCTTCAGCAAGAGCCCAGCCGCCCGCTCCCAGGAGCTTCCTGCCTGCAGCCGTCCCAACCGGAACTGCGGGCACCCTCCTCCCACGGGGCCTCAGTTCCCTGCCACGAGCCCTAACATGCCCCCGTGGCTTTGGCATGTGCATCACACACCACACACCTCCCAACAGAGCTTCCTGGGACCCAGCCCCTCCGCCGTGGGCAAGGGGCAGTCAGGTCTTGCCCACGGCTGCTGGACGTGTCCACGCGTCACCTCCCCTGCCTCAGTCCCACATGATATGCTACATATGTACAGCCTCCCAGGAGGGGACGCAGACCCTGGTGCCCGGCGTGAGAACGAAGGATGGAAAGACTGGAGCCAGCTGAGCCCTGGAGCTGCCGCTGCCGGGAAAGCCCGGCACATTCTATGTCCACGGGGCAAGGGTTCCTGCTCCCGGAAGTCAGTGCGCTGATCAAGCATGTGGGGAAGCGCAGGGGTGCTGCTCCCCGACACCCGGAGAAGGGGCGTGGCGGGCCTCCCCGCTGGCTGGCAGCAGTGCAGGGGCGCCTAGTGGGCAGGCTCCCCATGCACCCTGAAGCGGTAGATGCAGGTGTACTCAGGGTGGCCCCAGTTAGTCAGGATCCGCAGCTCCACCACCTGGTATGTGGCCATTTTGGGGTCCTGGGTGGAGAAGAAAGAGGTTACGAGTGTCGGAGCCCTCAGCCCTCACTGGCAGCAGGCAGGCGGGGAAGTGCCACCTCTCGGGCCAGGCCCCCTGCCCTGGGGCCTCTGAGACCTGGACTTCCCAGCTCTTGTCTTCAGACCCTGCAGAGTGTCCAGCTGGTGGGCCAAGGGGCTCCAGAGGCCTCCCGCCGGGGCCACCCCCGGGGCCACAGAAGAAAGGCCCATGGCTGAGCACCAGCCCGTTCATCCCACCCAACAGCCCATAGGAGCGCCTGGTGATGGCGCTGCCCTCGCGGAGTTTGCTGCTGTGTGGGTGCTGGGAAAGAATCCCTTTTCTTTGAATGAAGCAGAATTTCTTTTCTTTCTCAAGTTGCCATCAGGCCTCTGTCTGCTATGCTCCAAACGCCCGTTTTTGAGGCAGCTTTCGATGCCCAGCACAGTGTCTCCTGCTCTCCCTCTCCCTCTCCAGCCTCCTGTCCTCCACCCGCTCCTACAGGCACAGTCTACACCCCCCCCCACCCCCCGCGAGAAACCCCGGCTACGCCATGGCTTCGTTATCGCCTGGAGCTCACAGCTCAGTCTGTCAGGCCCGGTGACAGCTCCACGGGACCGTCTGACAGGTGCCTGCCCCCGTCTGCATTAGCCTCTTGGCTGCCCTCCCCACCTCCCCCTCCCTATTGTGTCCGCCACCTCTCCATCCTCCGGGTGAACACCAATCGTGAACTCTGGCTTGCTTTCCTACAACCACTTCCCGACTCTCCCTGTCTCCAGGCTTGTCCCCGTGGACGCACCGTGTACACGGCCACAGTGATATTGTACTGCACATCACACTGTCACTTCTCTGCCTAAAACAGCACTGCCCCCCCTCCACCCCCACCTGAGGGCTGAGACTCTTTGGCCTGCTGTCCAGGCTCTCTTCCTGCCACTGGCCCTTCGCCTCACATCTGACCTCACACCAGTGTACTCCGCTCCTCCCCTGGGGGAGCTGCAGGTTCCTGGGCCGCAGCAGCCCCAAGGAATCAGCCTCCTGGGGGAGCGGGGGCTCTGCACTTCTGGGAAGTCGCTAACACAGCTGTCTCTGTTCCGTGCCTCGGGCTGCGGGAGGGCAGGCGCTGTGGTTTCCTGTCCGAACCCGGGGCCTGGCACAGGGTAGTGGGCAGGGAGGTGAGTGTGCCACCTCTGCTGGCACAACACAATCCTGTACCTGAAAATAGAATGTCTGGATGGGCTCCCCGTCCTGGTTGTAGGTGAACTGGCCAAGACGCGTCCCCTCCTGCTGCAGGTCTTCATCAAACCCCTGGAAAGAGCAAGGATGAGGCAAGAGCTGCTCCTGGACACGCGCCCGGCCACCGAGAGTGCCTCCCTCCGTGCCGACCGTCCCCTCCCCCTGGTGGGCTGCGGGGGACCTGAGCACCGGAAACAGGCCGCTGTGGGGTCTGTGACAGACAAGTCACTTCACTCCTTGGGCCTGTTTTTCCCTCCGTAGCCTGAGACAACTGGGATCAAAGTCCCATTTCCCACCCTGGCCCCATCTCTTCCAGATCTGATCCCCGCCCCCAGCCAAAGAATGACCCCCAACTTTATCCTCAGTAAGACCCCCAGGCCCTCCTGCAGCTCACCTCGGGCCCGCACAGGGGGGATAGATACTCACAAAGACAGCAAAGTCCTTGGGGGCACTGGAGATGGTGCTGTTGGGTGACAAGGACTTGGGCACATGCTCTAAGGTGACAGCAGTGGGGCGGATGCGCGCAGAGAGGCGGACCACGGCAAAGCCCTGAGGCCCCTGGAAGGCCCAGCAGTTGCCTGGGTGCACATCTGGCTGGAAGGAAAAAGCCGGGTCAGGGCAGGGCTGGGGACAGAGCCGCTCCAGCTGCACAGGCGACTGCTCGGGACACTGCTGTCGCCGCCTGATGCCTACCTGGAGGATGACGCGGGGCGACTGGGAGTGATACCACAGGGGGATGCCGAAAAGGCTGAGGAGGGCCGTCTTGGTCTCATAGGTCTCGGAACATCGGGTGCTGATCACACTGGCCCCTGACCCAGGAAAGAAAGGAGTGTCGGGGTCTGGAGAGCAGGGGAGGGAGACCAGACAACCAGCACAGCAGCCAGAAGGACCCGCTTAAAGGGCTGAGGCCGCCCGAAGGGGGACCACTATTGCCCGTGTCCTCTCTGAGAACGGAGGGCAGATGCCCAGGCCCAGCCTGCACACCCAGCCCAGACCACAGGGCAGCTGTGAACAGCCTCATCCCAGCCAAGGATGGCGCCCGCACGTCGCGGGCCTTTGTGGTGAGTTCGGGGTTGGGTGACGTCTGATGCGCCCTGCTTGCCTCGCACATGGCTGCTCCGGCAGATGCCAGCGGCCAGTGCGGGCAGCAGGGCTCGGCTGCGGAAGGAGAGCGGCGCACGCACCTCCGGACTCCAGCGCGTAGTCCACCATCCCGATGCGGTCCTCACTGTAGCGCTTCAGGGCCTGGTTTACGATGCGGTGCACCTCCTAGAACCGGCACCAGAGCGGGGGTGACGGGGGCAGACGGCCACCCTCGGACCTCCCCTGCCGGCCCTTCTGTGCTGGCACCACGCTGGCGTCCAGCCACACGTGCCACCCAGGCATGCTGCCCCCTCCCGTACCCGCCCAAAGTCAACACTGAGCCCGCTGCATGGCAGACACGGGGAGCCGGCAGTGGGGGACGTGCAGGTCTGTGGCTCCCGGGAGGAAAGCAGTGTGTGTACAAGTGGGGGTCCCAGGGCATCATTTCTCACCTCCTCCGTCACCCCGACCACGCCCTCCTTCTGCAGCCTCAGCCCCACGCTGGCCGCCGCCTCCCTCGCCGACTTGCCCTGCATCTCGGCCACGTGGCTGAGGATCTTGCCCTCCAGCTCCTGCAGCCGAGCCTGCATCTCCTCTCGCTGAAGGAGCCCCGAGCGGGCCCCCCCACCTTGGAGAAGGAACTGACTGACCCAGGCAGGGAACTGGGACTCCACCTAGGGACCGAAAAGAGGTCTCACTGTGGAGGCTGGCAGGGCAGAGTCTGGCTGGGGAGGGAGGCAGGGAAGGGGTGCAGGCCTGAGAGGGGAGGGCCACATGTGCCTGCTCGGGCCACACAGATGAGAGAGTTATGAATGACCCTCCCTGTCTCCCGACACAGGAAGACAACATCTGTGTCAAGTCCAGAGCCACGCCTGTGGGACTAAGGCTGCAGGGGCAGGAAACCGTCCCCTACAGACGCCAACGACAGATGGTCTCAGAGGGCGGGTGCTGAGCAGGGGACCTGGACGGCTCGGACTCACGTCATCCCGCACGGCCTGGAGCTGCTGCGGCAGGAGGCCCACTTGGTCCGCCACCGAGCTCTGCTTCAGGGCCAGGGCTGCCAGCTCCTGGCGCAGGCCTGCCAGCTGGCCCTCCAGCCGCCCCAGCTCCTTCATGGAGTTCTCCCGGAAGGAATCCTGGGTCATCCTAGTCCCAGAGAGAGGAGAGTGAGCCTTGGATGCGGGGAAAACAAGAGGACCCCCCACTGGCTCCCGATGTGAGGCGTGCCCACGCACACAGGCGACACAAGGCCTGCTCGGGGAGATCCTGGCTGTGAGCACAGCGCCAGGTTTGCCTGACCCAAGGAGCTCATTCCTGAGCCCAGATTCATCGGTCACTCGGCCTCTGCCGCTCGCCCCCACAAGAGCAGATGTCCAGGGCAGGGGAGGCAGCATGTGAGGGTGTGCAGAGAAGATGGTGTGTCTACGTGAATCCACGAGTCCCAGTCTCTTGCCATGCCCACCCCAGCCTCCACTGCCCTCAAGCACAGGCCTCAGCACGCGGTCCTGAGCTGGCTTTCAGGCATCCCTCTCTCTGCTTACAACAGCCAGAACTCGGCTCTGGGGCGCTGCTCCCCAGTCCTGCCTGGGGCGGGAGGCAGAGGGCAGGGGGAGGGGCAGCCCATTACCTGTGCCACTCGGACTTCAGCTGCTGGAGTCGGTCCTCAGACTCCTGTTGCAGGCACAAGGGAGAAACACGCGCCATGTCAGGCTCAGAGCAATTGCCTTTCGGGATCTGTTCCCTTTGGGGTGTCTTTGCCTAACCACTTCCCTGCCCCAGGGTCTCCCATCTGCTCCAGCAAATGTCAAACTGGCCTCTGGGTCAAGGTACTTGTGCCGGTCTCACCGGATCTGGTGCCCTTAGGCATTCATACACTCACTCACTCACTCATTCAGCACGCCAGAACCAACACCACGGCCACGTGACTGTGCCCCTCCTGTCCCAGCAGCTCCCAGTGTGTCCCTGGGGAGCATTCCAGCCCAGGTGGGTTCAGTTCAAGCAGAAGTCAGGGGACTCCCCCCGCCCCTCCACTTCCGCCCCACCCCATGTCTACGCAGGTCCTTCCGGCGGCCAAGGTGCTCCCTCAGCCCTAGAACGGAGGTTGAGTTGAGTCAGGGCCCATGTGGCCCCAGTGCCCAAGCCCACCTGGGAGGCCCGGACAATCTTCTTGAAGAGGTCTTCTGCGTCCTGCTGGTGCTCTGCTCTCAGGGAGACCAGCTCTTCCTGTGGGCACAGCGGGAGGGCGGGGTCTCACGGAGCTGCGCTCAGAGGGCCCCTAACCACCAGTAAGTGGCATGAATGCAACCCAATCCAGGCCTATTTGATGGCACCCTCAGCTCCCACCTCTGTCACAGTGCCTCCTGGGACCACTGCACACCCACTGCCAGGCACTGTAATCCGCGTGCTCCCAGCGGGCAGGGGCGTGGGTGCAGGCAGGAGAGCGTCCGTGTGAAAGAGGAGGACACTGAGACTGCCTCTCGCACCTCAGGGTGCG